TGCGTGTGTGTGTGTGTGTGTGTGTGTGTGTGTGTGTGTGTGAGAGAGAGAGAGAGAGAGAGAGAGAGAAAGAGAGAGAGAGAGAGAGAGATTGAGTATAGCTTTTGAAGCCTGCTGTCTCCCATCCTTTTTTTTCCTTTCTCTGTTTCTTGTTCACAGTGCCTCATTTTTTCTTTAAAACAATCACATATTTTCCCACTACATGGAACTTATGGAGAGAGGGGGAAATGAATATGGCCAAAAAACAAGGCACATTACTTCATAGACTAAGGCCTGCATGATCCCCTAAGTGGAGGTAGCTCTAAGTTCAAGAAGTATAAAGCTGCCCCCATGCAGGACAAAGTGGTAGCAAAAGGATTCCCTGAATGAAACACTCCTCTGGTGTTACAGAGACCCCCTGCTCTTTCAGAAGCAGAGATCCACAGCTAGCTTCTCCATCCATCCTTGAGGCCCCTGGACAACCAGCACAGCCTAGACCTGTTATACAGGCCCCAGAATCAGTGGAGCCCATGGGTAGTTTAAAGCTGCCATTGCAGCTTTACCCTGTTCTTAGCTGGGTCAAGTCCTATTCAGCTATAGCTTAGGGTCTGGGTGAATGTACATACTATTCTATTTTGTAAGTGGCTTCCTTTTTGTCTTAGGTCATTCCAAGCTGTGCACACTTACTGATTATCAAATGAATTCTTAACATCACCCTAAGATACAGCAGCATCACCCTTTTTCTTATTCACTTTTCCTTCTAAATAAATATAATTATGTTTCTTCCCTTTCCTTATGCTTCTCATCTCTCTTTTATCATCTTCCTCTCACCAACCTTATTCAACCACTTAGCTTACCCAAATAGAAATCATGGAAACTGAGTCAATAGCATGGTGCACTTTTTCCACAGGGTTAATGCCTGTGGGGCTATTGCTTATATTCTTGTCATTTCTCATCCTTTTTAGATTTAGAGTATGGCTTAGTTTTGTTTTTAGTTAGCTATTCTTACTTTGCCTGGACTTGCTGATCTCTTAAACAGTAAGCCAAGTGGTGAGTGTCCCAGTCTATTATCCAGAAGACTGTGTCTGTAGAAAACTGCCATATTTGGGAGAGACCCACAGAGAGAAGAAAATATGCAGTGGTGGGCAGAGAGTGTGTGGAAGAAAGAAAGCCAAGCACTCTGCTGCAGATGTAGTGTTCCCCACACCTTGCCCCAGTGCAACCACTGGTACAGGTTAGCAATCACCCATCATCTTATGTTCTGTTCCTGTGCAGGATCATCTAACAGAGAAAGAGACAATTAGGGAAGAGCAGGTTCTTTACACCTTGTTTTGCCCTTCTTTGCTAACACCAAGTGACATTAAACCCATGAGTCTATATCGTTTTCATGCTGATACAAGTGGCTAATAGCACTGGAGCAGCAGCAGCACAGTTGTTCCAACAAATGCAGTGGCTTTGTTGACACAGCAGCACCATGGTATCTTCCTTCAGTAATAAGAGAAATTCAGTGCTTCTCTTTGGGAATTGTATTTATCAGTAGCACAAAATTGCTTATCCCCAACCATATAGAAGAGCACTTATAAGACAACAGTCATAAGAAAAAAGCATTTCATTTTGCAGTACAAGGAGGTTTCTAAGGTGCCTCTTTTAAATGAATAAATTAAACTATTCATTTAAAAAGCATATGCCAGAGGAAAGTGTTTTCTCATCTCATGGTCTCAGGATTAGGAGCTCATCAAAAGGATGATTTTATGAATATTCCTATGCCATATGCAACAACTAGCCTTTCAAGTCCAGTGTCCTATCAAGTTGCCAGTCCTACAGTCTTCATAGGAACATAAAAAAAATTCATAGTGAACAATTACATAATAATATTCCATTATGAGAAATTCTTGTCCAAGGCATCAAGTTAAAATGAGGTTTATTCCCTAATCAATGTGGTTTATAGCTCTGTGACAAACCACGTGTAATTTCTCAGTAACCCACAACATCTGAGCTGTGCAATGTCCTTGATAATATCCAGTTATTATATGGTTATATCTATACTCTTTCCATAACACTCTTGAAAGAAGAGCCAAGAAGTCTGACCATCCACTCCTGCTCTGCATAAGACCATAAGAAAATAGGGCTGGAAGGGACCTTGCAAGGTCACCTTTCTAGTTCAGCCCCCTACTCAGGGCAGGATCATCCTCGACTAAACCATCTCAGCCAAATGTCATGGTCCAACCCAGGATAGGAAGAAGTGAAGTGGCTTGGGAGATGCCCCCCTGCTGCCACTCTGGAGACTTCCATCTCTGTTGTGCCTCAGGGTAGCCACAGGGCTGCCTTTGTGGGGTGGGGGGAGCATGCTCCAGTATCTCTTTTTCAGATCAGGCATACGCAGAACTGGATCTGGAGCTGCTAGAGGGGGATGTTCTTGTCAAGAATGCTGCAAAAGCAGAATGGACCTACCCTAGGAGTCCCCATTCAATGACCTTATGTGCCTGTGAGTCCCACAGTTTTAATTTTTAAAAAGGATTTCCTTTGATCCACTTTAAGCACACTGCCTTCAACTCCGTCTGATTTCTCCTGGTGCTAGTATCAGGAGGAACAGTCAATAGGAGCACCAGATTTATTTTCTCTTTATTCCATTCATTATTTTTTTCCAAGTCTTGTTCATCTCCTCACTGGATTGCAGAGTCCCAGTCTCTCTCATGCCCCCAGTTTTGTCGCAGCTTATGCCCTGATTCCTATAATTCCCTAGGGGCCCTTGGAAACAGAAAACAGCTCTGGAGCATGTCATGCTGGGACACAGGCAGCTAAGTCTGGGGCCACTCAGGAATCAAGGTGCTACCCACAGGCAGGACAGGTTAGCAAATCCTGAGGTCAGACCAGGCCAGGAAGCCAGTTGTTCAATCCAAGATCTACTGGCTTCGATCTAGAAGCCAGGTCAAGAAGCCAGGAAGTCAAGCAGAGAGCAGGGCCAAGGAGCACAGCAGAGTGACCAGCAAAACAGTCCTGAGTCCGGTTGACCTCTGTTACCCAGACATTTCTCATTCTGGTTCAGCGGCTTATATGGGGGAAGTGGAGGATCAGCTGACCCCAGCCAGCCACTCTGGTGACAAGGAGTAAGCGGAGCATTAGTCTCTGCTAGAGACTTCCAGCCAGTCCTGACCAGAGTAGGTGACTAGCTATGGGGTGGCCAGCTGACATGAATGGCTGTGCTGACAAGCTGAGGCCCCAGGTCTGAGGCTGTGCCCTGACAAAGCAGTATATTCCAGTAATGTTCTTGACTCACCCATGACAGTGCTGCTTTTCCCAGGACTCGCACAGGCCGTCTCTGCTACCCAGAGAGACACGAGCTGAGGAAGCTTTCTCAGAGAGCCATTTTTGTCCCCTTCCAGTTGCCAGGGAGACAGAGAGTTGTGGCTGTACGTTACAATCCAGCTTCTTTAATGGTATATATTAACTTACATGAGCCAGCTATTTGTATGCTAAGCTTAGGTTTGCTGTTAAAACAATACAGCTCCTTAGATTATGGACTTGATTCACCATTGTATAGAGTTAGACTGGTGCAAAGCTGGGTCTATTAAGGATGTGGCGACAAAATGATGTAATTATCAGCTCAGTCCTCGTGCCAAAGTTAGAAATCCCAGGAGCTGCGTTCCATTTTTCTGAAGCTTCAGGATGTGCTTCCTGCTGATATGCAGCAAGTGAATTAATGCATTTTAGAGAGAAAGTGCATGAGATTAATAGAAAAGTCAACTAAACTATTATAATCAGGGAGATGAAAGTTTTTTCCTCTCTTTAATGCATTTTCTGCTTATATTTATAAGATGTAGCAATTAAGGTGCTGGTCATAAGATGGGAACATAAATAATGGTGGAGTATGGTATTAGCAAAATATTCCATTCATCACAGCTGAAGGGCAAAACACTGACCTCAGAAAACAATGTCTCAAAAATAGGGAAAATGAGAGAATGTAATAAGTGCATCAGCAAAGTGCTTTGCTATTAGCCAGTCAGCACAAGATGATGCCCTACTCAAATTGGTAGGGAAAGTATATTTCTTTTGTCCATTAACATGCATTTCATTATTTTTGGCACAGTTGTGAGGAATTATTCAATAACCATGATGGATCTGCACGAATGGATGGGTTTTACAGATTATTGCACATTACATACCATTTGGTACATTGGAGCACATCTCTAGCTGATGTAAATCAGTTTGGATCTGTTGCTTTCAATGGAGTTATCATGATTTACATCTGCTGAAGATCTGGGCAACTTCTTCTGAACAAAAGTGCTGTTCAGGGACTTCCATCTGCTCAGATTTATTTCATTCCATTTTTATTCAAGTGACTTTAACAACCCCCCCTAATTCTCCCTAGCTGATGGTATTAGGAATACACACTAGTTTCTCCATAATGGATGCATCTACATGAGATGTTTACTGAGGAGTAAACTAATCAGTTCCACAGTAAGTATTGTGCATCTACATGTGTACCCCTATTAGGCTGAAGTAAACTAATTAACTCCTCAGCAAGGTAGTATTTGTAAATACAAGTACCATCCTGCTGTGGAGTTTTTTACTCTGCAGCAATGCACATGTAGACACTGCCCTGGCTGGCTGGGGCACAAAGGTGCTTCAGTGCAGAGGCCTCCTGCTAGCTGGCCCCACACTGGAGCACCCTTGTGTCCACTGGAGCACCCTCTGCAGTACATTGAGCCAGGTCAGGACACCCCGGGCAGGCAGATAGACCCCTGTAGCCCTGTCACTTGGGCTGCTCTGACCTAGCTCAACATGCTGAGGTCCTGGGCTCACGTTCAGTAATAAACTCTGAAGTTCATTGTTTTGCATTAATTGCACATGTAGACATGAGCAACAAGGCCTAGATTGTATAACTGTGATAGGCACAGTGCCATCATATTGCAGACCAAGCAAATCAGGGGGGAAACTAAAGCATTTTCCCTTCTTCCCACCTACCTGACCATGTGATCTCATACCGCAACTTAGTTCGGGGTTAAAATTTTCAGGAAAGTTTGGAACAAATTTACCAAGGTACTGAGGAGATATGGAGATTCCAAAAATTGCTTTGGCTTTAATTTTGGAAGATTTTCTTTTTGCTGGCTTGTTTTTGTCTGCTTGCATCTCCAAAACAAATTGGTCTAGGAAAACTCTTTTTCTACTAGTCCTAATGAAGACAGGTGTCTTTGATATGATCCATGTTCCATGCATGGCAGATAGATCTGTTATGAAGGAAGGCAGGTATAGGTAATCCACATGACAAATAATGGTTGAGGAATAGGAACAAATACAATGGTTCACTTAACAGCTTGCATAACCTACCAGAACTCCTACATGCCTTACAGGCTAGGGACAGAAATTACACATAAACTGGTGTAAGTGTTTGGAAACTGGTTCAGATCTGTAACACAACGGAAGTTCAGTTCACATAAACCACTTTCAAAATGGCTGAAACTGGTTTAAGGTAAATCTGGATGGATGTAGTATCAGTAGGGACCTACCTACAAAATGCATGGCATAAGTGGGATGCACTGGGGCTCCTTTAATCTTGCAGGTTCCCCCATAATGTTCCATTCCCCCACCTCCCACCCTCCACACTGAATGGTGGAGAGGCCCCACTTGCAGTTTGCTCCTGATCGGTGGAGAAGTGAAAACTGTAGTTTAAAACATGTCGCCGTTTTTGCCTCCCACCACTGATTGTCTGAGGGGCCCTGGACAGCCCTGCTGTTTGCTGCCGACTGGTAAGGAGACCAAAATGGTGCCATGTTTAAAACCACAGTTTTGGAGGGAGTGGTGGGGTCCTCTGCTAATCAGTAGGTGGGTGCGGTTTGGTGGGGGCAAGGGGCAAGGTGCATGCGGGGGAACATCCAAGATTAAAGGAGCCGCCATGCACTGTACTTCTGCCATGAATTAGGTAGGTCCCTAAGTATCAGACTTGACTGATTTAAGTTAAATCGGATTATTGAACTTCTGTCCTAGATCCCCTCCAGGTATAAGATAACTCACAGTCCCCCAGTATTCCAGGATGCTTTGCACCTCTCCTGCAACCCTGCCACTCCACGCCCCACCTTGCAAGGTGGGTGAGCTTGACTTAGCCAAAGCTGTCTGCTCTAGCTGAGCAAGGAGTCATGCTCAAGTATCTCCCACCAGGCTTCTAGTCTAGGACACTGCAGGCCTTTGGCTGCATTTCCAGAATCAAAAGTGAATGTCTGTTCACTTGTTTATTGATTCAATCTACCCATCTTACACTAACCTGCAAAGAGTGAATCGATTCAGCCTTGGGGTTTTTGACTGTCAGTACTTAGCCTCAAGGTCTTTTGGGATTCAGATTCCTGATACTGAACAATTCTTGAACATGTATTTAAACTTGACTGCACTTGTTAATAATATTTTCCTTCTTTATACTTTTCAGTACGAGCAATTTTCAAGACAATAATAAAAAAATGCTGTAGAGCCATCTCTTAGCTCTTTGGTCCAAATAAATCACAGGTCCTGCATTGTTTTTAATCTATGTCAAGCTAATATCCTTCCCCCCACCATTCATCATTCAGTAGAAACTCATTCTCCAGGAGCCAGCTGATTGATAATAACAAAATGTTTAAATACTCACTGCCTTCAGACCATATATAGGAAATGAACAGTTTGAAAAGCGTGGACTTGTTCCTGCAAACACTTGCTCCCAGGCCTGTTGCTTACTTCCAGATATCCAGAGGGCTAATCAAGCTGCAAAACTTTATGCCCAGTAGTAAGTGTTTGCTCAATCAGTTGCTGCAGCATTAAAAATATATCCAAGTGACCACCTATGAATTTAAACTTTTCTTCAGGGCCTCTACCCTAGCTACATTTAAATCCTTCTTAAAAAAAACACTTCCATCATGGAACTTGCAATGCCTCAAGTCAACCTGTATGCAAGCTGTTGTTCTGTCTTCCCCTCAGCTCCCTCTACTTGCTTTCCTTAGAACTCAGAACTAAAGGCAGAAGCAGAATTATCCTTTCTAAGTGTCTGTAAAGTCCCAGCATATTTTAATTGCTACTGTAACCAAATAATCTATGTTTTGCTTGTTGCCCTCAGCAATATAAAGAGTGGTAAATTCTTCCTTCCCCTTCCCTCCTCTCCCTCTCCCCTGTCCCCATCTCTTCACAGGGATAATGCGCTTCCACTGACTTTTTTCACACCTATGTTAGAGTTAAGTGGAAATTTTTTGAAAAAAATTGGTACCCACAGAGTGCACTTTCCAACATGTAACCTGCGTGTAATCTGTTAGGTCATGTTTTCTAAAATGATGAAATCTTCATGAAAGCACAACAGCAGCAAATCAACACAGCAAAGAGAGAATATAAAGCAAAATGAAGGCATTTATCGAATTATTCCATGCCAAAAAATACAGTCTTTGGACGCCAACTGGTTCAAGCATCAGCTTGTAGTTAAGCTTATAAATTGGCTCAAGAATTCTTACATTACATCAAATTTAATTGTTGGCCTCTGTTTGTATTTTGACATGGTAACAAGCATCATCAAATCTATCACATCAATTATACACACACACATATACATGTGTCATGCAAAACAATTCTCTGATCAGAAAAAGCTAAATACTATCTTGCATCTGGAGAAGCTAATAATCCAAGTGTTGAGGCAAATGGGAAAAATATGCTATGGTGATCAGTATTATCTTATGATAGACAGGTAAAAAGCAAGGTAACCCAGACTCACTGTAGGCAGAGTTCCAGAGACTTGAGGGTGTCGGTTTAGACAGGCATTCAAAGCCTAAGGGATCCCCTTGAAACCTTTTCATGCTAAAATTCATGCTACTAAACTCCAAAAGGATTTTTTTCCCTGAAACTGCCTGTACTTTCTAGATTCACCCTATCTGGAAATATCATGGGATGGGGAAGTTTCTACTGCCTTGCACCGTGAGTTGTCATTTGCACTTGTGCAAAACAGTAGCATTTTGCACCTGCTTCATGCAAGTGAAAACAACTACACATTGCATCTGACACCAGAGAATCATAGTCTGCTGAGAATAGCTCCTGAATAACGAGCAGGATACCAAATGCAATGCTGGTTGTCCTTGCCCATACTGACTGCAAAGTCAGTCAGAGTGGTGCTAGCTGTCCTGACACGTCCCAGTAATCTTCTAATGTGATAAAACTTTGTGGTAAAGGCAAAAGAGTGAAAAATATGCTTACTGCTTAATCTCACATATGCACAAGCTATATTCACATTTTGAAATCCAAGTCTTGTATTCCATGCACTCACAAAAGGATTTACAAGATCAGGACTCCAGGATAAAATTGTCTCTGCTCATACAAGAAGTGATTGCTACATAAAACAAGAGAGGCAAAGTCAGACATATTGCCTGACAGTGAATAGCCTTAAATTACAGGGGAAAAAAATCATGAGCTTAAATCATGCAACAATTACCATGGAAGTGTCCCTCCAAACCATTATTAAATGGATAAAAAATACCTTTTATTCTATGAAGATATTATTTCTGCAGATTTAAGAGTTATCTAATCAAAATCAGCTTTTCTATTTCCTGTCTCACTTCTTATTTTGACTCCATACAGTAGTTTTATCACATCTCAGCTTTCATTCAACTGAGATCCCTGGAGATACTTTACCATAAGATTGCCATACTTAGACTTGATGTTCCTCGGAAAGCACATCACTGTAACATTTTTGAAAGGCCAAGTTGTTTCCTATTGTCCCTTAGGAGGCAATATCACTTCATCCTATCGTTATTTAAATGTACCCACAGTTTCCTGGCACTGTGCCTGAACAGAACTGTCAGGATTGTATATTCAGGTTATAACCTAAGGAGCACTCACAATCTTATCTTATCCTGAGTTGCCTAACATCAAAAGAAATATTGAGAACACAACCCGCTTTATGCATCTCTGAAATGTGCAGTTGCAGAGGCCCCTAACTTAAGGTGGAAGAAAGTAGAGATTCTGTTTAAGGAAAGGTAATAAATTCTAGGTTTGTATCAGTAGTTGTTATTGGGAGCCAAGGTGCCCACGTGTTAGGAAAGTGTGTGTCAAGAAGGACAATTTCTAATGGGTTTACATGGAGCTTCTACTGTGGAGTACTTTTGTCCCTATAAATTCCTCATAGTTGTTATTGAATAGTGTAGTGGCATATAGGGACCCCAAATAAGGCACCCATTGTGTTAGATGCTACTCAGCCACAAAGATAATATAAGTTGTCCAAAGTTACAGACAACTGGGCCCAGATCTGATTCTCAGTTCATGTGATAACTGCAGATCTATCTTTCTTCTCTACATAACTGCAGACACACAGACAAAAGAGCTCACTGAGCTGGCTTCATGAGATTGGTGGCTGCTTATCTGCTAAACAAGCCACACACTTGTTTCCTAGAAAAGGTTTGAGGTGAGTCTGAAGATGGCCAGGAGCAGAGCTAAGAAACATTGTTTTTCCTTCTCACTCATCTTTATTTTCCATTATCTTCTTTCATGGTGTGGGAGTAGTGCTGAATACTGGGGAGAGAAAAAAGAGGATTACTTGGATCAAAAAATGTGACCCTCCTGACAGACACATAATAAGCAGAGAAAGGTGGCCAGTCCAAGGAGACTAAACTTAGGAATAATGAGATGGAGCTGAGTAGAAGTAAAGTTAGTCTGAATATCAAGAAATACTTCTCAGCACTAAAATGTAACAAATTGTGACTAATCCTCCCAAAGGAAGAGGGGACTTGACATTTAAATTATATTACAGTGGACAATCCTGCACAAGCACTAGGATAAAAGCAGTATGAGATAATGTAGTAAGTCTTGTTCACCTTTAATTTCTGTGGTTCTTATAATGCCACACTGAAAGTCATTTCCTGACTGGTTTGATATCACGCTGTAGAAAGCGATTCGTCTAATTGTAAAGCCTTGTAGACTACTGATATTGACTGGCGTGGCGTTTTCATAGATTCGTAGATTGTAAGGCCAGAAGGGACCTCGGAAGTTCATTGGGTGCATTCCCCCTGCACCAAGCAGGAAAGATAACTGGGGATCAGGTGACCCCAGCAAAGTGACAGTCTAGTCTCCTCTTGAAGATTTCCAGGGTATTCCAAAATCTTTGGAATATATCCCCAAAAACCAGACTGAGTCTAAAATCAAAAATCTATGTTATTTTGGGTGGTTAAAACACTGACCTGGGATGTAGCACACCCAGGTTCAAGACCACCTGATTCAGAGCAGAATTTTCCCT